AGACAGGATATGATATTGTCCATAGACAGGATATGATATTGTCCACAGACAGGATATGATATTGTCCACAAAGAGAATATGATATTGTCCTTAGACAGGATATGATATTGTCCACAAAGAGGATATGATATTGTCCACAGACAGGATATGATTGTCCACAAACAGGATACGATATTGCTTTATTGTATCTGATCCTCAAATATTGAGTCGATATGAGATACATCCAAAAATATATAAAAAAAATAAACAAAAAAATGATTGTGATAAAAACAATCAGAAGTCAAATAGACATACATTTACCACCGGTAAACAACCGAATCAAAACAACAGACGAACTACACCACAGCGTTTAAACAACAGAGGAACCACACCACAGCGTCTAAACAACAGACGAACTACACCACAACGTCTAATCAACAGATTAACTACACCACAGCGTCTAAACAACAGACGAACTTCACCACAGCGTCTAAACAAACGACGAACTACACCACAGTGTCTAAACAAAAGGAAAAAATATTTTACAGTGTCTAAACAACAGACAAACTACACCACAGCGTCTTAACAACAGACAAACTACACCACAACGTCTAAACAACAGAGAAACTACACCACAGCGTCTAAACAACAGAAGAACTACACCACAGCCTCGAAACAAAAGGACAAAATATTTCACAGCATTAAAACAAAAAGACGAAATATACAACCAAAAAAAAATGTTTTAATCTACAGCGTAAGCAAACGATAGAAAAATGTATACCTCAACTTCAACAATCAAGGAAATTACAATTATCGAGATCAAAAAAATGTTCCATGGCAAAACCAGCTGTTTTGAAAAAGTGAGATCTTCCTGCACTTTATGTTGTATCAGCAAGACTACTTGCCTAAAAGGTTGAACGAGATAAGGACATATATAATCCCGGAACTGCGATTTGACGTCGTACAAACAATTGGTTTTGAGACAAACACTACATGTTTTGGTTGCTTGCATGCAATTTCTGTTGTTTCAATTACGACAAAATGCTCTAAATCCATCACAATATTTCATAGACATTCACGTAAAGCTATGTTGACGGTTAGGTTTGTCTGAAGACGTGATCCACTTTGTACTCACGTGTGTTGACGTATGTGATTTGTTGTCCGGTCGCCGGTGTCCCTATAACCTGTCCGGGCATGGAGCGTCGGTTGGCGTTCACACAGTACACACATATGAAAACAATAAAGGCTACGAATAGCCCTACGCCGACCAGACTGCCGATCACTATACCGGCTATGATCCCCCCGGTAGCATTGGATCTAAAAATAAACATACATAATATACCACAATATTGTATATAACAGATACTGCCCTCACCAGGACATTGTTACAGGGGACATCGCCTTGTATTTATTCAGCTAGCTGAAGATTGACAAAGACATCAAGGTCATACATCCTGACAAGGAAGTCACAACTTTAACGATTCTGTATATCACGAACATGGTTTTGCATATATGCAAAATGATATTGCACACCCAATAAAAATAAGTCCGGGTGTACAGAATTCAAATAAAAAACTAAATAAAATGAAATGAAAAAATATATATCATTCTGGTATACAGGGACAAAAATGATCTACGTAACAATATCAGTCCATATCTTTTCGATGTTGGAATTTTAACATTACTAAATGGACCCATTTAGGTCTGATGTTCACAAATGTGAAAGATATCATTTCGATATAGCCATGAATTAAGTGTACCCTTCATCCTACACCATAGAAGGCCAGTGGTCGATTTAAACATCAGATCGTATTTCTATATCCGGTTCCGGTTCCGGTTGCGTACTTACACATACTCTGAATAGCCGTAGTAGTCTGGTGCAGGACAGCAGTAGTAGTAGCCAGAGTACCCTCCACAACAACCGTCATTACAGTAGAACGACTCACTCTTATACCTCACACTGCCGTACACGGAACTGTAGGAGGTAGTGGTATAACAATCGGATGCCATGGCTACTCCTGAAACATATCGTATGCATAATGTAGAAGATTCAATAGAATGTAATAAATAAATAAATGCCAAACATATAAAGAATACATGTTCTACTTGTCCGTCGGTACCATAACTTGACAGAGTAAATGTTTGTTTACTTAATATATAGTATTTAAAAAGATGGCATTGCATATCAGAACGCTAAAAACAAATTGCATTTTCAAATCATTCTTAAAATAAAATATCAATATTGTTATATTTTAACAAATTATTGGATGTTTTAACTATTGCTAAAATCATTTTTGTCAGTTAGATACGGGATTCTATCAACTAACACCTGTATCGTTTACACAGTGACATATATAGAACGTTATATATGTTACTGCACAGAACAGCCGTATCCACACTATTAATACGTGACACACTGACAGTAATGTAGACGTACAATAATATCCGTACAACACACTGATAACAATGAAGACATAAGGCATATATCCGTGCAAGACACTGATAGTTATGTAAACATCATATATACTTCAAAACACTTATTGTAATGTAGACATCAAAATATATTTCAAAACACTGAAAATAATGAAGACGTAAGAATTTGCCTAAAATTAAAAAAAAAAAAAAAGAGGAAAAAATATGTTTAAAGTAAATATGACACACTAAAACAATACTTAAACTTCTCAAAATGACATATTTCGGATAAGATCGTATCCAGCATCATAATTTTAAAATGTTAAATGAATACACGCAATACATACACCACCGTAAAAGAATAAATATTCTTTAGAATGAGCACTTCAAATATCACTACAGAGTAACGAAAGACTTAATGACAGTTTAACCGATCTTAGTTTGACAACGCATTACCATCGTGTCTAACTAACGGAAATTTAAAAATTTGATAAATTCGACATCTCAAAATCAATATTTTTGGAAAACCGATACATAGTTCATTTCAAAGAAAAAAACATTTCCGTTTACGATTTTTCATGTATTGTACTGGTCTGAATGAATTTATTAAATATTTTCCGGAATTATGATAATGGAAACAAACCCTACCCGAGGTGGGAAATTGTGAGCAGTTCCGTAATTTTCAATTAATTATGTGCATAGTATATCTCCAATTTGCATTCAAATAAGATACCTGTGTTTAGACGTTTAAAGCAAATACGTCTTGTTTGTTACCGAGTTGGTAGTCGGTAAGTGTACCGAGGCCAATTTGCATTCAAATCAGATACCTGTGTGTAGACGTTTAAAGCAAATACGTCTGGTTTATTACAGGGTTGGTTGTCGGTAAGTGTCCCGAGGCGTATCGCCGATCAATAACAAACCACATACGGAATTGTGATATATATATAAACTGACATTAAAGTAGTGGTCGGCCAGCTGTTGTAAATGAATACTTAAGGATGCTGCAGGACACACATGTAAACATGTATGCGAAGACATGTGCGTGACTGTACAACGAAACACGCCTATGTATTAAAGAGGACTTTATAAAAAAAATACACATATGCGTCGTTTACAGACCGACTACAGTTTAATTACAATAACGGGTACATAGGAGCCTGATACGAGACCATCTATGACGTCATCTGTCGTCCATCAAGTAATACACAATATGGTGGTATAATCACCTGACATAGGATATAGAACTGTTAGTAAATATTACCTGTAGTGGACAGGAGTATCAACAGCATACCCAGTGTCGCCATCTTGAATCGTAGATTCCCTTGTTGGTTATTTTTAACTTTTACGCATAGCTCATTGTCACAGCTGCCTACGGTTGAGCGGGTACTCGCTATATCACTGGCAGTCAGGTGGTCAGTATGTTATATAAATACGCCGAGACTCTCTATAAAGTTACCCATCGCAGCCTAAATATAGGGGTAAAATACTGACTGAAAAGAGTTACTGTGATAATTTATTATGAATGAGACATTAAATATGAACACGCTACCTGTGTGTTTGTGCTGTGGTAACAACTGCAGGTAGACGCAAAAAAGGTTACTTAAACATTGTAAACAATTAGGTAATGTTCATTTCGATAACAGCATTTTAAATACAACTGTATTTGGCATTTGTACAAAGCGTAAAATGTAAATATATCAGGAACTCGAGTTTTTTAAACGCTTTTTGTTCAACATTGTGCACATCTTATTTGAAATAGTTATCAGTTCATTCGCAGTGTAAAACAGCATACCATAGACGATAAATATAAAATCCACTAACCTTCATAAAATATAAACGAACACGTTCCAAAGATATTATTAATGATGGAGTATGCAGTTATTAATTTCCAAAACAAAACAAAACGCAAAACTTGTATCAAGTATTTAATTTAGAGTTAGAAATTATGTCTTTTGATGCAGAGATATTGATATGTTGGCTAACTTACCAATTAAATTTCAGATTTAATGATTTTAACGAGTATTTTAGATTTTTAATCAACATATTATATGGTTTAATGACTTATTATTTCATTGTAAATTAGCTTTAATTATTGTGATTCAAAAGCATGTAATTTTACAAAACAAAATGAACAAAATAATTACGATGTTCTTACAATGTTGGACGTACATGTATCTGACGTCCTTATCAATCATAGAGTATAATACGATACATTGTTTCAAACCTTTCATATTTTCCAATAACATGAGTTTGCTCTGTTTAAAATATCAAAATTAAAAACTTAATTGCAATGAATTAAATCCTATCACAACAAGTTAAAAATTCTCACCAAAGTTACTACTTACTTTACTTTGTATTCACATATCATTCCCTGCTCTTTAAAAAATGTTCTAGGCCTTTCTGGAGCAAAGTGATGTTCTATGAAGACATTCATTTCAATGCCGAAAGTTAATGAATTTTGACTTTGTTAGCTGGAATAAAGTGTTTTCAGTTACAGTACACATACAGTTGTTTTTAGTTTTAAGACTTGTTAAACATGTGTATTGTTGGGCATTGTTGGCACTGATAAACATGTCGATCAGGAACGTTTTTACAACAGAAATAACGTTAAGAAATATATAATTTGCTCTTCGTTTTTGACATTCCACTCTAAACTATATGGTAACGATACTATCAATTGATAAGCATATGAGATGTTCCGAATGAATAGAACGGCAAATGAAAGATCACCAGTATCTGCAGCAGGGGGTCGGCATGTAGTTAAATAAGAGAAATCTTAAATTTGGTATCTGCGTGATGAAAAGTTCAGAGCAAAATAGTATTCCGTCTTTGCGTATTGCAGAGTTATCTTCTCTTGAGAGCAGGTATTGATTGTTACGTCATTTGTTTGTGAGAGTAACGTCATCAATTTTTGAGAAAACGACGTAATTTTCTCACACGAACCAATGACGTAACAATCAATACCTGCTCTCAAGAGAAGATAACTCTGCAATACGCAAAGACGGAATAAGCATTGTCCATTTCCCTCTGATTTACCAAAACAGTACAAATTCAGGTCTAAAGGATGCATTCAGTTGTAGGCTATGATCACTGATTAAAACCCTAGAATCAATTTACAACTTTTATTCTGCACAGCAAATACCAAACATTATTGATGCATAAATGCAATTTTCTTTGATAAAATAAAACCGATTTTTTTTATCAAAATTACAAAATAAATGTAGAACATGTATTGTCTGAACATAATATATGTGAATATAATGCCTGAAATAAAGCAGACCACTCAATGATGAAGACCGGTGTCCTATTTCCCTAAAAGTACCCAGCAAATCTGTTTTGTATCACTGACGTACTCAGGTATACAGTTGATTGCCCCTAATAGCAGCTCAAATACATGTAGTTTATCACAGGCGAAAAGGAAAAGATATAGTTTAGCAATTGAAAAGGACTGACTTGTTTGAGTCATCATTTTACCTTAAATCAGTTCGTACACTCAAGTAACAAGTCAGCACTACAAATTATTGCAAAGAATATGAACTAGCACCTAGACATATTGAAGTCTGGTTTATTTTTAATTAAAGCTAACATGACATTTTAATTCACTGAATTACATGATGTTATACCATACGGAGCCTCCAAATATTAATATTTACCCTTTAATAACCTTTGTGCGAAGTCTTTTCACCATCGTGACTTTAACCATTAATCAGAACTAGATTGTATTACAATAATAATTCGAATAGAGTTAGGACAAGAATATCGGGAATTTTATTTATATATATACATATTATATTAAAAATGTGAATGTATACTTATTTGCTACAGTTGTGGGATCGCACAACGTTTCACGATGTGCGGTGTGCGTGCGATGTGCGCACGGTGTATGCACGATGTATGCACGATGGGCGAACGATTAAAATCTGGACGATAATTGCATGCGCACATTTGTGCGGACGATGGACTAACGTTGTGCGATGACAATAGTGGTTGGTGTAAATTGAGAAACGGCTTAACAATATAAACGGCATCGTATTTAAACATAAAATCTTGATTTTCAAGTATATTTCTTTATTATAGCGTCATATACTAGCTGATTTTTCTACATTTATCTTTATTTTCTTAAATTAAGAAATGGTGATTTCGGTGTTTTCTTAACGACCCAAATCGACGCATGTCAAATAACAAATATCGACACGGTCACGTATACAGGTAAACATAGCCACTTTGTACCTGTACCTGAACCGCAGTTTTTTCCACCCGGAGTTTTAGACAAAAACGAATGCAAATTACAAATGCATAGCGCCCAGGTGTGCTTTCATAATGGTCATACGGTGTCACATATATCAGCTCTCTTTTTCAGGCAGGATGCGAAAGTTATATACAGTGTTCCTTATTCTATACGAGGGTGTCGGATATCTTTCGTTCCGTAATATTGATCAAATAATCCTACCAAATCGCACATTTGTGCAGTGAGAAGCGCACAACGGGGCGAACGATTGTTAAATCGCACAGTTGTGCACGATGTATGCACGATGTGCGCACGCTATTTTTGGTGCGTTGTGCGGTCGCACAATTGTAATATATATGTATGACGAATGCTGATGATTGATCGAATTTTATTTCTCGTAATATAGTAAATTTCTTATAAGGGGAAGAATTAAGTGAAGTGGTTAGCATGAAATGTGAAGGCGAATGAAAGATGTACTGATCAGTGTGTTGAATCTTGAAAGTAATATGTGAAAATATCACGGTATGTACATTATTTAAAGGCGATTCTAGACGCCTATGATTGCATATATATAAATATGCTTATGTCATATAATTTTGGAAAAAAAAAACATTCTGAACCGCAATGTAAGTGTCTAAATTCACGGTGGCCACTTGCAGCCATATCGGATTTTTAATTCGGCCCACAATACATTGAACAGGTCCTCGATCCTGCAAGCATTTGTAAAACAATTCATGAAATACAAATTAGATCTCAAGATTTATCTCACATAAACCACTATCCAAAATTTCTTATCGAAGTCGTCCAAAATAACTTTTGATGTGGTTATTGATTCAGTATTTGGAGGAATTGTCAGAAAAATATTTAAAGTATTCCTTTAATAGTTTTCGCACGGAAAGCTATTTTTGGACAAATATCAGGGCCAATATTCATGAAACAGTTTTCAGGCTCTAACCCTTGGAACTCTCTTAAATCATGTGACACGGTAAAAAAGCAAACATATTAAGAGTTATTATACTTGTAATATGTCCAACATTCTTAAAAATAGTGTTTGTTTAATAAATTATAGAAAAAAATATTGGGCTTAATCACATAATATGATGTTGAATCATGAGAAACCGTTCTCATGCTCAAACTGACGTTCTAAGAACTCTCTTAAATCATTTGACAAAAAAAATCAACATTTTAAATTCTGTTTAATAAATTATAGCTGGAACAAAATATTAGGCTTAATCACATAATCTGATGTTGGACCATGAGAACGGTTTGATGGTCTTTTATATACGAAAGAACAAGTCCCTCTCTAACGGACATGCACCAAAAACGTTTATCAATAACATTCTATTTTTAGAATGATGATAATGATAATCTGTCCAAGTGACCGTCAGAGTAATGTATATAATTAAAATATGTTAAGTTTGCTAAAACCAAAACCTGTCGAAATAATTTCCGAGGGAAGTTAACTGCATATTTTCTATGCATACATAATATTATTACCCTTGCTAGAGGAAACTCTACACGCTATATTTATTTTGATGAATTATAATGATATATCTTCATAAAATTTTAATAAAAATCAAGTTTACCTGTCATCTTGAAAGAACATAAACAACAAAACACAATATTACAAATATTTCTGATAATTTTACTAGAAAATATCGTAAATTTGATTTGCAATTGTAGGTAAATGTATGTTTTGAACACAAATAATATACATATATAAACGATTCTGCTTTAGTATAATGTATAAGATAACATATACATACTAGAATATATTGAGTATAACCGACATCCTCTGAGATGCACATGAGAACACATTGTGTTTGTGATTTACAATAAGACTACATAAGGGCCCGCCTGTAGAAGTCAAAGGTCTCCGAATCCACGATAATGCAGAAAGTTAATGACGATATTTAAGTATTACCTGTAGTTCTAATTTTCCTAAAAGCGTCATTATTGCATTTCCTATTTTCATAGAGAATTCAAAAGGAATGTTTTGGTAGTAGGTGAAGAATTTGCTGTCATCACAAACGTCAGCTGATTTATTAACCCTGGAATAATTCGGAATACATTTCATTAATATCGTTGACACGAAAATGATTTCTATTAAATGGATAACGAAAACATGTAACTACATCAAAGTCTCGACAAAAACATAATAAATCTTGCAATAGAGCAAGTTATTATCAATTACTAAATATTTAAAGAAAAAATGAAAATAGACATTTCGGATTACCTCCGTTAGGATTAAAGACGTTTAAATAAATCTATAGGGTTATATATCGTGGTTGAATATGTAACTCGGGATTATGAAACTCAATCAGAGGAGGTCTATCATTGATCCCTATCAATATCTGAACACGATTTATAAATTCAAACATAATACTTTTAGTACACGAATATGGAAAGCATATTTCTAGAATGAACCTTGAGTGTTACTCTATCAAATTAATACATTATATGTATATAATTTACATAATCCCTCTTGGTATTTATTTATGCATCTATGTTATATATTATAAATGATTAATCAAAACCATTTTGATATACAAATAGCATTTTCAATCTCCTCCGCCACAGCCTCCACATTCAACCCCCTCACCCCCACCAGGTGTGTCGGTGACAGGTCCGGGAATTAACGCGGTACCAGCGTCCGGCGTAAAACCTTGGTTACGATAGGGTTGCATTCCTGGTTGATCTGTATTTCCTGGCTGGACAGAATCTGAAATTTCATATATTATTTACGATAGTTATATCATAACTCTAGCAGTGACAACTCTTATGTCTGGTTGATGTCCCTAAGTTTTCCAATTAAAGAGGTGTTTTTTTTACAAGAACGTAGCCAATCATACATGTACATCTACCAGTGCTTACTGCTTCCTTCCTTTGTTTACTTAACGTCCTCGCAACAGCTCAGTGATATGGAGACGGGTGTCTAGTGAGATACCGGCGGCGAAGGAAAAGATAGAAATCCCAATTGTTGCTCGCTGAAGTAGTGGAGGGGTCGAGCTGTCAATTTGGGTTTTTAATGTCCAATAAGGAGACGTGACAGACGAAAATCCCTGGTTCAGCTGAAAACCCCTCCATTGTCGCCTCGGCCCTTACTGTTAACTGCATGCTATACTTCATATACGGTTCTTTCGATTTTTATGATGTATAGCATAAAGCTTACAACCACAAAGAAACATAAATAAATAAAAAAGAGAAACATTTCAAAGAAACAAATTTTTTTTCAATAAGGACAAATTTTTATTGACGTCGAAAGTCAAAAATTGGGGCAGACACAGGACAATGATTATTTGGATTTTAGATACCAGATTGCCCAGTTTTAATAGATTTAATAGATTTCATTGCGTAAACAAGGACAATAACAAATATACTTGATTCGAAAGAGAACTGAAAAGACCCTTTTATAAAAGGACGCCGACAAAAAAACGAATGCAAAATGTTATTGACAATATAAGCAATAGTCAATAGGATCAGACATCAGGCATAGTCTATCTAAGTCCTCTCCTTAAGGTTACAACAGGTGGTTATAAACACAGACATATATTTGTATGCATTGATATGATGATTGGGATAAGGGAAAGTAACTCCTTGATATAAACAGACTTGTTCAATATTCTTGAGTTATAGTAACCCTTTCACTAGGGATATTTAATTTGAGATATTTACTAGACTAGTATCTTCATTGAATAATATCAAGTAATAGACAATGCGTTACTAGTATTCATATAAGGTAAACTGTTGAGTATAAATATTTGGTGATATTGGATTTATTCCCCCCAACAGATACAGGCCATACAGTCCATATAATATAACACTAGCCATACATTGTTGAGGGTCTAAATTATATATCAATTTACGCAAATAGATATATGATTTGTAAGTAGGGCTACACCATCTCCTGCAATTAATATGATAATTCTTTAATAAAATTGAAAGGAGTTACTTCATATTTTGATGTAAGCTTAAGAGAAGAAAAAAGAACCCACTACATCTAAGCTGCCCAGAGCCAATTTCATTCAATAGGTATATAACAGGTAAATTAGTAATTATCGAAGGTAGAATAAAGTAGTAGTATCTAATTAATTCCATATTATATTACAATAGGTATATCTTGTACTGCTATATCATTGTAGTTCACCGTGGGTTATACAGCTTATATGCATATAACATGAACAAAAAATGAAAGAATGTATAAGTTCCGAAAAATGGTAAGGGTAAGTCAAAGATTATATTAATGAAAATCTTTTTGATTGCGATATAAAGTTTGATACATGAGATAAGATATCTCTATTTGGTATATCATTACAACTATTACAACCATTTAATAGGACATTTATACACTGATGATTGTAAGTGTAATGATTCAAATTCTGTTGGAGAGTCTGGCGAATATTATTATATTGATTGGATTCAGAAAAATAATGTGAAGCAGTTTCGAAAGATCCGTTACACTCACACATTGGAGATTCAATTAAGTGGTCTTTATAACGATCAGAATTAAGATTTGTATTGTATTGTAGAAATGACTCCCCTTACTACACAATGTCGTGATTCTTTGTTTTAAGAGTTGTTTATTTTAACACCCCCAGATAGGTCGATCATAAAACGTGTACATGTATACCTTCCCATTGACCGTACCCCTGACCAACTACTAGCATTTGGTACGCTTATCATCAACTGGCTTCTATGTGATAATAATGTATTATACTTTACATGTTTAAAAAGTTGGTTAAGTTTCAAATTTATCACATACTCTTGAAAACGACTTATATGATGTACCATTGTTAATGCGTTATGTTGATGGCTGATAAAGGTCATTTGGTTTGGGTTTTATTTCTTTATAGCATCTGGATTTGTATGACACAAGTGCTTACTAGTGCAATACAGCGTCACCAGTCCTAAATTATCGTAACATTTAGTAATATGTTGTAGGTTTTTTAACTTTTGAGACCTAAAGGTGCTACGTGTTACTAGGGTGACACCACTGAGACTAGATTGGGGTAGATAAAGAGGAGACGGGTGTCATAAAAGTGGCAGATAGGCTTATTGCTCTCTCTCTCTTAAGTTCGACAGGACTTGAAGTACGGGGTTCATCAAAACCATTCTGATACTGCTGGTGTTCTGATAGAAGCGTTTGGTATATAAAGAAGTCAAGTGCAGCCCGTACACAATATGTTCTTACCTCTCCATATGTCACGCCATTTGAAGTAAATGGGTGATAGCTACTTTTGTACGCTTTGGGTAATATTTCTAGTGTCCACTGACAACATATGGTATTGTCCACAGGCAGGATACATGTATAATATTGTCCACAAACAGGAAACGATATTGCTTTATAGTATTTGATGCTACAATAGTGAGTCAATATTTGATTCATACAAATATACAACCAAACAAAATTCACTTAATCTACAGCGTCAGCACACTATAGATAAATTTATACCATAATTTCAACAATCAAGGAAATTACAATTATCAAGATCGAAAAAAGGTTCCAGGTCGAAACCAGCTGTTTTGAAAAAGTGCACTTTATGTGGTATCCGCAAGACTACTTGCCTAAAAGGTTGAACGAGATAAGGACAGACACAAACCCAGAACTGCGATTTGACGTCGCACAAACAATTGGTTTTGAGACAAACACTACATGTTCTGATTGCTTGCATGCAATTTCTGTTGTTTCAATTACGCAAAAACATATAAAAAGTTCTTGGTAAATAATATTTGGTAACAATTTATCAAGATAAAGCATAAATTATTTCCATGTTTATATACTAAAAAAACTCATGGTTATATATTAGGAAAATATGACGCAGATGATATTTCGGAGAGATTTCTTTAATTATTCAGTGACGAGGGCCAGTGAGGTTAAGAACTGATTTTGTTTTGAAACATTTAATAATTGCAGAACAAATAATGATACTCCTTCGGTAGAAATGAATTCGGCATTATTATACAGCTCAGAGCACCATAAAAACTGCACTACTGACGAATTCATGCAAACTCAATATCAGAAAGACAGTTTTACTATTTTACGAAATACTTTTAATCCAACAGAATATTTCATAGACATTGAAGTATAACTATTTCGACAAGTAGGGTTGTCTGATGCCGTGATCCACTTCATACTCACACGTGTTGATGTATGTTATATGTGGTCTGGTCGCCGGTGTCCCGAAAACCGATCCGGTCACCGGTGTCCCGAAAACCCGTCCGGTCGTCGGTGTCCCGGAGCGTCGCTTGGCGTTCATACAGTACACACATATGAGCACAAAAAAGGATACGAATAGCCCTCCGCCGACCAGACTGCCGATCACTATACCGGCTATGATCCCCCCGGAAGCATTGGATCTGAAAATAAACATACATAATATACATACAATAATGTATATACCAGATGCTGCTCTCATCAGGGCATTGTTACCAGTTATTATTCTGCTGTCTGAAGATTGACAAAAACATCAGGCAAGTCACAATTTCGTCGATATCGTATACCCCGTAACTAAGTTTTACATTTATATGCAAAATGATTTTGTACACACAATAAAAAGAAGTCTGGATGTTTAGAAATCGAATGAAAACCTAAATAAAATGACACGACGAAATACCATTCTGGAATCCTGGGAACAAAAATGATCTATGTAACAATATCAGTTTTTAATATTACTTAATGGATCCATATAGGTCTTATATTGACAATGTGAAAGATGTCATTCCAATATAGCCATGAATTAAGTGTACCGTTCCTCCTACACTATAGTAGGTCCATGGTTGATTTATACATCATATCGTATTTCTATTACAGGTCCCGGATGTGTACTAATACGTACTCGTCAGGACAGCAGTATTGGTAGCCAAGGTACACTCCACAACATCCATCATTACAGTAGAACGACTCAGTCTTGTACACCAGTCTGTGGTACTTGTAACTGTACTCGTTGGAAGAGGAATAGCAATCGGATGTCATGGCTACTCCTGAAAGATACCATATGTATAATGTCGTAGATTCAA